CTAATGTATAACAGGTTTTTTTTTAAAAAAAGGATGAGGAATACAAGTGGTCATATTTTTTTTTTAATATTTTATTAAGGATTTTCTTGTTTTACAGAAGTGTAGTGTCTCGTTTTTTCTTTTTTTTTTCATGTAACATTTTTACAAATCCATTTCATTTGTTGAGGCATTAGGGGGAGAAGAAAAAAGGAGAGAAGAAAAAGGGGGGTGGAGAGAGGGAAGATAGATGGGGGTGGGGTCGCGTGGCGGTGTTTCTGTTATGTTTAATGTGTGTAGAGTTTGGTGTCAGCGTTGTTTGTGTTGTTCACTTGTGTTCCTTTGGTGGTGAGAGAGGTTGGGGTTGGCCTAGGGTGTGATTGTTTGCTTGTGATTGGCTGTGGTGATCTTTGTTTTCGTGTGTGAGTGAGGTGGGTGGGTGTTTTGGATCAGGTTAGCCATATTGATTTGTATGCTGTTGGTGGATTATTGTCATTGTCCTGTTGGGCTGTGTGTGTGATAAAGGGGAGCCATACCGGGGTGAAGGTGTCTTCTTCTGTTTGTCCCCGTGTCAGTTTCAGTTTATTAGTTAATTTTTCTAGTAGGGCTGTTTCCCATACTATTTGGTACCATTGGTCCATGCTTACTCCTGACAGGTCTCTCCAGTGTCTGGTTATGGTATTTCTGGCTGCTGAAAGCAGGTGGGTTATGAGTTCTTTGTGGTGTAAATGGGCATTGTTGTCTTGGAAGATGTTTAGTAGGGCCAATTCTGGGGTGATGTCTATTACTTGCTTAGTTATTGTACATATTTATTGTATGGCTGTCGTCCAGAATAGTTGGATTTTGGGGCACTCCCACCACATGGGAGGTATGTGCCTGTGGAGGTGCACCCTCTCCAGCATTTTGGTGAGGTTCCTGGGTGTATTAGCGCTAGTTTCCTTGGTGTTAGGTACCACCTGTTGGTCATATTGTATTTATTTAGAGAATTTATACACTGCCCTTCAGCCTAAGCTCCCACCAAACATCTCTGACAGATGAGTCATTCTGCTAGATATTGTCTCTTTTTCACCCACTCAGTATTTTTGCAAACATATTCGTGAATTATTAACAGCAGTTTGGAACTACTATAGAGTGACTTGGCAGCTGTACAGATCTCTGCTTGGCAGATTCTGTGGATAGAATCAGAGCCTACAGGGTTAAGAGGCTCTGTGTAACGCCTCACATTCTGGGCATGGTTTACTGAGGGGAGTGTGTCTCAGTTCTGTTTCGGTTTGCTCCGGAGAGGAAGCAAGATGAGTGCTCGGTCGCCAGGAAAGATTTAAGAGTTGTTTTTCTACACGAATAAAGGCTGTTAGAAGATAAGAAAGACACCGTGCGTGTAGCCTGATTTATCACAAACACAGAGCAACAGTAAAAGCTGCGTATACTCTGCTTGAAGTAGCTGGACCGGAGAGGTGAGCAGAAAGCGCTGAGGGTGGAAGCGTGTGGGCTCGAGACGGAAGCTACAAAGGCTACAAGGGCTGTGGCCACAACATTCCAAACATTCCAGAGATTCTGGGCACACTGTTGATCTGACACTTTTGTCTCTGCTGACTGAAGTCAATAAAATTCTATTGCTATCAACTGTCCCCCTACAAATAATTCAATACAATAGTAAATTACAGTGGTGCCTCGCAAGACGAAATTAATTCGTTCCACGAGTTTTGTCGTCTTGCGATTTTTTTCGTCTTGCGAGGCACGGTGTCGGAAAAGTTTTGGAAAAGCTTCAAAAATCACCAAAGTCTTCAAAAACCTCAAAAAAGGCTACCACACCGTGTGCTATGAGTTGCTCCTCGAAGTCAAGTCGCAACTGTATTAACGGTGTTAAGAAAAAGGAAACAAACTTGCAAGACGTTTCCGTCTTGCGAAGCAAGCCCATAGGGAAAATCGTCTTGCGAAGCAGCTCAAAAAACAAAAAACCCTTTCGTCTTGTGAGTTTTCCGTCTTGCGATGCATTCGTCTTGCGAAGTACCACTGTATTGCCAGTTGTGAGATAAAACAATAGTACATGTTAAATGCCAGGAACTAAGGTAAATATACACTTCCTACTGCCAATCCAGCAGCTAAGACAAGTGATAATGCCATTTTTATATTTTGTTCCACAACATGTAAGGTAAAGGTAAAGGTACCCCTGCCCGTAGGGGCCAGTCTTGACAGACTCTGGGGTTGTGCGCCCATCTCACTTAAGAGGCCGGGGGCCAGCGCTGTCCGGAGACACTTCCGGGTCACGTGGCCAGCGTGACGAAGCTGCTCTGGCGAGCCAGAGCCGCACACGGAAACGCCGTTTACCTTCCCGCTAGTAAGCGGTTCCTATTTATCTACTTGCACCCAGGGGTGCTTTTGAACTGCTAGGTTGGCAGGCGCTGGGACCGAGCAACGGGAGCGCACCCCGCCACGGGGATTCGAACCGCCGACCTTTCGATCGGCAAGCCCAAGGCGCTGAGGCTTTTACCCACAGCGCCACCCGCGTCCCTAGCTCCACAACATGTACTTTGATCTAAATCAGCTATTTTAATATGATGATACTGATGGTGACCACCATAGCATTAAGCATATCAGTGACATCTATTTTTATTGGCTTTGATCCAACCTCAGCATGTGGAAGCAGAAATTTTGCTCACAGACAGGGATGTCACTGATAATGTCAGCAGCTGTAGCCTTCCCACCCCAATGTTGCCTCACATTTTGGGGAGAGGGGTTGTGTGGAGCAGCTAGGTGGGTAAGTGGGTATTTAGTGAGACAGACATAGGTAAAGGTAAAGGAACCCCTGACCATTAGGTCCAGTTGTGGCTGGCTCTGGGGTTGCGGTGCTCATCTTGCTTTATTGGCCGAGGGAACCGGCATACAGCTTCTGGGTCATGTGGCCAGCATGACTAAGCCACTTCAGGCGGACCAGAGCAGCACACGGAAACGCCATTTACCTTCCCGCTGGAGTGGTACCTATTTATCTACTTGCACTTTGACGTGCTTTTGAACTGCTAGGTTGGCAGGAGCAGGGACCGAGCAATGGGAGCTCACCCCATCGCGGGGATTCGAACCGCCAACCTTCTGATCAGCAAGTCCTAGGCTCTGTGGTTTAACCCACAGCACCAGCCACGTCCCGAGACAGACATACTCTTGTGCAAAAGCACTTTCTCAGGTGTTTCCATTTGTCCAAGCAGAATGTGGCTCTAAACTTTATCGCAGACCCTCCCATTGCTCATAAAAACTTGCATGCTGTGATTTTATAGCACTGTGTGGGTCAATTTGACATCTTTTATTGGACTGTTTGTATATTGGGAATGTATTTTGAAAGCAAAGTTTTGGCATATTTCTCCTTTGATACCATTTTCTAAGTGGCAGAAAACAGCAGCAAAGGAGAAAACAGAGGGGATGGTTTAAACAGTGTAAAACATGTTCAGGTGTCTCTAGAGATGTTAGTTTTAGTAGAATTACTGAGGACCATGGTTGATTTTAAGATATGCAGTAGGGGAGGCTTATAAGGAATGAAATCCTAACTCAATGACTCTAGTCATTGAGAAGATAAAGGAAGTATATTCCTGTAGCTTACCTCTCCACCTGCCTTGGTCTTGTGGGCTGCTTAGGACACCTTGCTCAGGAGAAGGGGACTGCAAATGAGAAATAGGTCTTATCTACTTGCTAGGTGGTAACCCAGAAAACCAGCCCCAACTATGACCCAGCAATTGGAAATGGTTTCAGGCTTCTTGTCCTTCCTGCAGACCTCAGGTCAGGTGCAGCTGAACGGGCGGCAGCATGGGAAGTGGAAGGAAGGAATGAGACGGTTGAAAGCGAGGCTAGGAACTGGATGTTACTGTAAGGCTTGGTTGCTGATGAATTTAGGCTTCTTCAGAACCTCTCTCACTGGACCTTCTCAAATCCCCACACACTGATGATAAAAATGGCACTGCCTTTATACCTGATGTTCATCAAGTGTGTGGGGATTCAAATATAGAGATGGTGTTGCTTGGTCAATGGACTAGCTTTCAATGGTCCTGCCACCTCAATCTTTGAACATTTTAAACAATCAGGAACAAACTGCCTGGCCAACTTGTGTGTGTATGTGCTTTTTGGGTCTTTAGCTAGGAAAGCATGTGGGGAAAGTGTTTTCCCTCCCTGATATTTCCTCCTTCACACTAATTGCTTTAGCTGATGAGGTGGTTTTCACACTGAACTTTGCCCCCACATATAGGGCTGTCAATCCTGGAACTCAGATATTCTGGTTTCTTCTTGGGTCTTGGGGGCAAAGGCCTCTGGAATGAGGATGGCACCATGTAGTTTTTGGTGGATTTTGGGGTGGAGTCCTTTGTAAAAAGCCATCTATCCGTCTAATGGGCAACTGGAGGGCAAGATTGCCAATTGCAATGCCTTTTTAAAAAAATCAGTTGGAGACCTTACCCCAAAACCTGCCAAAAGACAACAATATGCTCCCTAGACCCACTAAAAGCCTCTGAACTGGCTCTTGACCCAAGTTGACTCACCCATATTCCATCCAGAATGTTTTTCTCTCTCCAAGAAGTGATAACTCAGATGTTCTGCTAGGAGTAGGAACAATGTTCTTCTGTTACATAGCTGTTTTGAATAGAAATAGAAGGTGTACTCTTGCTATGCAGAAGAGCCTTCAGCTCATAGTAGATGCCCTGTGTAGCTGGGTTATTATTCTATCTAACTTAGGATAATGGCCATTCCACCCTTGGGGGTTGCAACTGTTGGTAATGATGTTCATGTGAGAATCCAGCCTTCTAAATTATGTGTCTAAGCAATCTACTGAAAAATATTTTAGAAGAAAGCAGGGATCCTAAACCTGTTGTAGATCAAAACACATTGAACGCAATAGGGTGACTGTAGAGACTGTAATTTCAGAAGTACCATCTTAGTCTGTAATCACAGTTCATGCAGGGTGCCTTTTAAGCACATGTATATTTCCCTATATCACTTACATTAATGTGCTTTTGTTTGTCTTGTTGTTAATCTTACTACTGTCCCAGAAGAAGTATCCGCAAGGATAGTCCAAGTAGTAACAGCTGAAGCTGTGGCAGTCCTGAAAGGTGAACAGGAACAAGAAGCCCAGCACAAAGATCAGCCTGCACCATTACCTTTAGGTAAAGCAAGCAATCTCAGCTGTATTTTGTGTTACAAACGTCAAGCTTTTGCACTGCAGCTGTGGCCTAGATTTTTTCTTATTTACTCGTTCATTTATTTTAAGTATTTAAGAGCTAAGATGCTGACATATTCACATTATTCAAGAGCAGGCCTTCTATCCACATGATCACTTGCTGCAATTCTGCTTATTGCTTAAAAGTCACAAGCTTTGCCAATTCCAGGCGCTTCCACACTAGGCTTTTAGTTTGGAAACTGCAGTGCCTCATACGCTTACTTTCTCTAAGGCATCCACATGATGTTGGTGTCCAAGCATTCTCATCCTATATTTTCTTTGTGGCTCTTCCATCTTTTCTCTGACTGCAGAAAGTCCATTTTTTGCAGAATAGAAGAGTAGCACACTTTCTACAGGTGTAGAAGTCTTCAGTATTTGTCTTCTGTCTTTTAAAAAGGATGAGTTGTTCCCCATTGAGGAAGTCGACACACTTTGTTTATAACATTTGTGCTGGGTGCCATTTTATTACCCCATTTTTGTTTTTTTAAATCAATCTTTTAAATATTGCTAAAGCACTTTTCCACCTATATATATATGTATATTTGAAAAAATGGAAAAGCAATAGCATATCATATAACATTATTGTAGTATAGTGTTATAGTACTTGGCTACGAGTGATCGCCAGAGAAAGAAGTGCTAGAGCACCATAATAAATTACCAACAAAATGGATTAAAGATTATAGTAGTTTTGTTAAGGTTTAAGAGATAGAAGACAGGGTGCAGCACAGGGAAGGAAACAAACATCATGAAAAAGAGGGTGGGAAGGTAAACAGCATTTCCGTGTGCTCTGGCTTCCATTACAGTGTCCCATTGCGCCTGAAGTGGTTTAGTCATGCTGGCCACATGACCCGGAAAAGCTGTCTATGGACAAAGGCAGGCTCCCTCAGCCTCAAAGCGAGATGAGCGCTGCACCCCATAGTTTCCTTTGACTGGACTTAACCATCCAGGGCTCCTTTACTCTTTTACCTTGATAGATAGATAAATAGATTGATAGAGATAGATAGATAGATAGATAGATAGATAGATAGATAGATGTAGATAGATGGTAGATAGATGATAGATAGATAGATAGATAGATAGATAGATAGATAGATAGATAGATAGATAGATAGATAGATAGATAGATAGATAGAGATGATATAGATAGATGATGATGATAGATAGATGATGATAGATAGATAGATAGATAGATAGATGATAGATAGATGATAGATAGATAGATGATAGATGATGATAGATAGATACAGTGGTGCCCCGCAAGACGAATGCCTCGCAAGACGAAAAACTCACTAGACGAAAGGGTTTTCCGTTTTTTGAGTCGTTCCGCAAGACGAATTTCCCTATGGGCTTGCTTCGCAAGACGAAACGTCTTGCGAGTTCTTGTGAGTTTGTTTCCTTTTTCTTAAAGCCGCTAAGCCGTTAATAGCCGTGCTTCGCAAGACGAAAAAAACGCAAGACGAAGAGACTCGCGGAACGGATTAATTTCGTCTTGCGAGGCACCACTGTAGATAGATAGATAGATAGATAGATAGATAGATAGATAGATAGATGATGATAGATGATGATAGATAGATAGATAGATAGATGATAGATAGATGATGATAGAAAGATAGATGATAGATATAGATAGACAGATAGATAGATAGATAGATAGATAGATAGATAGATAGATGATAGATAGATGATAGATAGATAGATAGATGATAGATGATAGATGATAGATGATAGATAGATAGATAGATAGATAGATAGATAGATGATAGATAGATAGATAAGTAGGTAGAGCAATACTCCTGATCATGTGGGAAATCCATTGTAATTCTTCTTGCAGCTTACAGTAGAAGAGCAGTGACAGGAGCTACCCATGTGGAAATAGCCCCTGTATCATGCAACATTTGAGGGAAGATGGAAACATTCCCTGATCCAATTTTCCTGACCTTTGCTTAATGCTTGAGATTTGTCTTTCAAATTCTGATGTTTGTATTTAGAGTACCTCCCTTCCCCAGCATTTAAAGCAACCCAACCTTTTTATGTCAATCTATGCTTTTACAAAAAGTCTTTCCCTCCTGCTCAGCCACATGTTTTGCCCACAGTTTTATTAAAGGGTGCAAAATGCATGAGGGTCATTTCTGATGACAGAAGACCATCAAGGTTTCAGAGTGCAGAGAGTTCTCTGTAGGGCAGAATAAAAAGGTTACATACAGAACAATCCTGTTTCCTGACCTGTGCTGCTGGGGAGAGCTAAGATGTAGTCCTGCTCCACTAGGCTGGGGTGGCAAGGGGCTCCGCTGATGTGGAGGAGCCTATTTCAGCTGCTGCAAGCATGAGCTGTTGACAGGCTACCGCAGGAATAAGGCCCCGAAACAGGGCCAAACAAGACCAATGAAAGATCCACTGGGTGCCAAGTGAGTTTAGCTGCCAGGGAGGAGCCTGATCCAGGCTTCTCTCTTGTGCCATTGTGGAGAAAAATACTGCCCCCATCCTCTACTCTGGTCAGCATGAGCAGCAGGGCTTTGGAAAGAGCAATGACTCCACTCATCCTGGTTATGAGCTAGGATTGCTTCCTGAATTATCAGTTGAATACAGAACAAGGTTATATAGCTAGCACAAACAACGGATTGTATCTTATGGTAGCTTTGCACTTGCAAGAAGCACTCACTCAAACAATTTTATCCAATTCCAAGTTCTACCTAATGCAAAACTCAAAAAGCTGTACTTGGGGGATGTTCTTTTTCCCCAGGGCAGTATTGGATATGGCACAGAAGACTGCAGTAGCTTGGGGTAACCAGTGAAAATTGGGTGCTTTGCCTTGTGCATGTGGAGGTTCTTTCTTCTAAGCACAAAGCCGCCATTAGATTCAACCCATTGTTTGGTTCAAACAAGCAAATGGAGCTTTAGCACATGTTTTAAGTTCTTGCTGAACTGCATTGAAAAATATCTGAGCCCTCATAGTAAAAGTTGCCATTGCATGCACACACCAAAATAAGGAAACAATGGTTTCCCTACAGTATGCATTCTGTGCTTGAATGTGAACATTCATTGGTGTATGTACTTGTATAATGTATCACCACCACCACCATCTTTTGTAATAGAATGATTTTGACTTTTACACTGTTAATAGAGACTTAACTTATCTACATGACATCACAGATATGTTGAAGAAATTGCTAATAGGCATGCACTGTTACAAAACCATTTTCTGTAATCAGGTATAGCGACTCAGAAGCATAGGCACAACTCTTCCAAACTGAATCATATTTAAGCCCTGCTGAGATCAATGAAAATGACTTAAGAATATACTGATTTTTCCCACTGAAACAAATGGGCTTTAATGCTTAACTTTGGCAGAAAAATGCTCAGGCTTTTAAGAGGAAGGTTTAGGAAATGTTCCATGGGTCTTGTTCCCACTGTATCTGTGGTTTTGTCACTATCCCACTTTTGTGTTTCATATACTGTAGTTGGGCATTGGAAAGGAAGTTAGTGGTAAAGATTTCTGCTTAGCTGTGGGTCAGCCTTGAGCTGGCAAAATTCAAGATTTGGCTTTAAGCAGTTACAATATGAAATTAAGTAGGTTCCGGAGAAAATAGGATTTAATCATTTATGTAAGCAATTATACGTTTATCCTTTCAGATACCTGTAAGTGAATTAAACATGTGGTTGGGCACCTCTATGTGATGTTATTTCTCCCCTGAATGATATTTTAAAAACTCTTCCCCTCCTGCTTTTGGCTTGTGAATGTGCTTTTCTTCAAGGCATGTAAGAATTATCAGGTCAATCATTCAAACGGCTTTGATGTAAACAAAAAACACTCTAGTATTTATGTACAACTTTACTAAAGAAACAAAAACAATAAGCTATTTCAGTAGAATTATCAGCATAATGCTACATCATCTGAATCGAGTGGTTACTATTGTTGGTATAAGACAATGCAAGTCTTAGATCCAACTCAATTGAAATGTTATAATATGCTGCCAGGTAACTGTAATGCAGATCAGCCTTCCCCAACCCGGTATTTTCCAGATGCTTTGGGTCACAACTCCCATCACCCCCCAACCAGTGCTTTGCTGGCTTGGACTGATGAGAGTCCAACAACATCTGGCAGGGCTACCAGGTTAGGAAACATTGGCATAGATTGTCCAGTTGACATAACCTGGTCTCAAAGCAGTTAATTGTTGTGTCTCATTTTTACTGTTCAATCTTTAGCAGTTGAAGAAACAGCTAACCTGCCTCCTTCTCCGCCCCCATCACCAGCTTCAGAGCAGACTGGAACATTGGAAGAAGGTAAGAATTCCCTTGGGCGTTGCAGAGCCCATCTCTAAGGAGAGAAACCCAGGAATCCTAATGAGAGAGGTAGGAGGATGGCCTGTCAGCATTAATTTAAAGGGCAGCGAGCATTTTCCCTAATAGCAAGTTAGCAGTTCCACATCGCTGTAAAGCACAAGCAGTACCAATATGTACATTGTTATGTACGTATCTATATATGCTTATGGTGATATTTGGGAATGTATATTAACATGAATACAAGTTTTGTTGCGCCATTGAATAGATATTCCAAATGGCTTTGAAAAGATTCTGGTACCTTGAAGAAAGGGCAGGAAAAATTGTGGCCTTCTAGATATTGTTGGATTACAACTGCCAACACCCCTGGCCAATATTGGCCAGGCAGACTCATGCTGATGGGAGTTGGAGTCCAAGAATATCAAGAAGCCCTTTGGTTCCACAGCCCTGCTTTTAAGGCTTGCAGATAGAGGATAATTCCACTTGGTACAATTTCTCTTATCACTGACTACCTGCGATGAGAAAAGCTGAACTTGGAAAAATGGTTACAGCAATCTCTCAAGTTCTGGACTAGGGAAACATACTTACTACCCAGTATACCCAACTATAGAGGATGCAAAGGGCATCTCCTAGCAGTAGGAATGTCAATGTATTCTGGCAGCCCTCAAGACAAAACACAATAAAGCTTTTTCCAGCGCTTTATTTCCATGCTGGGAAAAGGTTCGTTTCTTGAATTAATTTCTTTCCATCTTTCTTTCTGCTTGCTTTATATCTGTTTTCTTTTAAATTTAGACATGACAGGTAATGTAAAACATAACAGCATAAATGTAAAAAACTATCGTAAGATAAATGTGAATTAAGTGCAATTCTGTTCTGAGGTTATTAAATGCTACCATGATGTTCAATATCTTCTTTCTCTTTCTGTATTTTTACATAGCCAGTGAATATATGCTTTACCTGAAACTTTTAAAAGCACAGGAGCATGTCATGGGGTTGGGGGGAAATGGCAAGTCCTCCCTGATAATAAAATGAGTAATATTCTTACTATTTTTTAAATTGAGATTTGTTTGGGGGGGGCGGAACTAGACTCCTGGGGTCAGCATTTTTTTCAGATTTTACTGCAAACCATCATTATTCTTGTGAATACCTTTGTGGGTCCATGAATTTGTGTCCAAGTGCTAAGCTCTTTTTAATTTGGTGAGATTTAATATTGGAATAAATTTGATGTACCTGTGCCAGGAAGGGGGGAATGTTGATCCTCTAAATGTTGAAATGCAGCTCCTCTCATTCCTGGCCATTTGCTCCAGTGCCTAGCACTGATGGATGTTGGAGTCCTGCAACAGCTGGCAGACCACAGGTTCCCCACCCCAGGCCTGTATTGTAGAACCCCCTAACTTCAGCAGCCCCCATCTACAGAGCTCTGCAAACCTCTGTTGACAAAGAAATTTGAACATGTGCTTAAATCAAGAGGCCTCTTAGTCACATGTTTAACAAAGGTTATTTCAGCCAATAGGCTGTAACTGGAGACTTGATTTTATATTGCGCATCTGTTACCCACCATTTCATTATGTTATTAAGGTGACACTTTGGGGAAACTTTGTAGTCACAGTCTCTGCTTCTAATGGATGTTAGAGAGTATGAAAAGTTAGAGCTGAGCTTCATGTGCAGAAAAAACACATGATATATTCCTCCCGGGGCTATGCTACTTCCCTGTGGAAGGGAAGAAACTATGTATATTTGAATGCTCATGTTTCTGCATGCATGTTTGGGTTCATAAGTGTATACGTACCTATAATCTTAAACATACATATAGCCATAAACTGAAACTTCCCTGTATGTGAAATGTTACTTAAGGAGAGTAATTAAACTTCTCCTTTGCAGGCAGACTTTCCATAGGAAAGGAGCTTTTAGCATGATGCAGAGTGTTAAGTCACTTGACTATGCACTTGAAGGGCTACGGACCCAGAAGTGCTGTACTGTGTGTATATGAGCCCTTACCCTTCTTCTTAATGAAAGTACTAATTGTAATATGCAACCTTGTTATTCAGTTAATGCCACTGAAAGGAGTCAAGTCTCTGCTATGTTAGTGGTTTGAGATTGCTTTAACTCACCACAAAATCATCTTTCATCCCGCTCCTGGTACTGCGCGATGTGGGAGCCAGTTTTATGTTTTGAGAATTAATTAAAGAAGTGCAAAACTGGAAATAGCATGCTGATCCACCAGCTGTACTTACTTGTCAGACATCAATGTGAAAATTAAGGACTAAACCATTACCTACTACTGTACTCCTGTGTGCACTAGGCTCATCCACACTTACTTTTTGCCCTGCACTTTCTAGACACAGGTCCACTTTTGAAAGCTCCATGTCAGAGCAATTTCTTCTTCTTCTTCTTCTTCTTCTTCTTCTTCTTCTTCTTCTTCTTCTTCTTCTTCTTCTTCTTCATTCGCCCCACTGCTTCCCCAGGAACACCTGGTGTTTAACATTGAATTGGAGCAAATGGCAATTAAGGTTTTCTGCAGATTGCCATTTACTCCAGTTCAGCACCGGAGAGCAGGTTTTTGCGGGTAAAGAGCTGGGAAGAAAGAAAGAAAGAAAGAAAGAAAGAAAGAAAGAAAGAAAGTGTGGTAAGTGTGGATGAGCCCCTGAGTGAGCATTTTACGTTGACCTGTAAATTGCTTGCACTGGTGCAATTCAGAGCTTGTGATGTGATGTACCCATGTTATCTAAAGTGCTCACTTTGAGAAAATAGAACATCCCACATTGAAGGGTTTGTTTGGGTACCTTTCTATCTCAGAAGCACCCTTTTAACATTTTTGATAACCCACCAGACCTGCTGATTACAGTCTAAGATACCAGCATAAAATTGGCTTTATGTGGTAGTCATTAATGTTAGTGCTGTGGCTTTTCTGCTGGTTTTCGTTTTGTATAAAATGAAAATTGATTGATCTCCAGGAATGTTAAGGCTCTCTAATGAATTTAACTGCCAGCTACCTCTTCTGTGTGTTAGTATTTCAAAGAGATGAAACATCTCCAGGTCATTGTGACTCAGTAGATCATGTTGCTTCCAGTGCTACAGCTAGCAATTTATACTGTATTTCTGTTTTATAAAAATCTGTATAATAGAGAAAATGATGGTTATAAAAATTAACCAAAGAGCTGATGTTTGTGCAGGATTCTGAAGCTATGATGCATATATGTTTATTGAGTAGTGTATGTTAATATATCATTCAAGCTTGCTTTTTCAAGTTAACAAACAACATTATTTCAAAAGTTTGTTTTTCCCCCAGCTGAACAGCCAAGTCAACCATTTTTATTCAAATCTCCCAAAATAAGAGGTTATAACAATCTAAGCAGAGTTAATCACTTTTAAAACCCTTTTGTTTTAATAGAAGAGTTAAATATCAGTAGGATTTTTATTCATAGCCAATGGCCATTAAAACATACATCACAAAAAACCAAGAAAGCTGAAGAATAAGTCAAACATACACACTTACAGATTTGCAGATTATCAAAACTTTAAAAATCTGTTGACAGTCAACAAATACAATGCAATATAATTTTAAGCGTGTTTATGCAGAAGCATGTCCCACTAAGCTCGCTCAGCGTGGAATTACTCTTTCTAGGTATTTTATCCTGGCAGAATAGTCCTAGCTTTCCAAGTGGTCGCTGCTTTCTCAGCCGCAACACTGAGAGCAAAACAACATTACTTTTAAGTACCATTGCAGCTACGACAGTCTTTCTCCCAGCAACCACAGCATCAGCACTAACTCTCACCAATCACAGAGCAGCATGCTCATAGTACCTTACCCTTAGCCAGGCGTGGACTAAGTCCGTGCTCACGATTTCAAGATAACATGCTCATGCAGCCATTCAGCACCCTGCAAACAGAAGACGCTGCTCACCAGACAGAAGGATACAGTGCCTTTCCAGGCAGCATAAACAGAATGTGGGAATGTACTGTAAATCTTTTTCATTGAAATAAGTGAAACTTCAGATTGTTTAACTTTGGCAGTATCATGCATATAGTCCAAGACGCAGTGTGCTTCACCATTACTGGGTAATCATAATTCGAATGTGCTGCAAGGTATCTATGTGTTGTGTGTGATTTTATTTTATTATTATTATTTGTAGAAAAGGACTGGAGGGTTGTCAACAAACATGTTCAGCCAAAGCTCATTTCTTTTTCTGTCTCGAAACAACTTGCTTTCTTATTTGTTTGGTGAATTAATCTATATTTAGGGTTATGATCAACTAACTTTTACTCAGAGCGTACTATTGAAATTAATGATGACTAAATTAGTCCCTCGGGACGTGAGTGGCGCTGTGGGTAAAAGCCTCAGCGCCTAGGGCTTGCCGATCGAAAGGTTGGCGGTTCGAATCCCCGCGGTGGGGTGCGCTCCCGTCGTTCGGTCCCAGCGCCTGCCAACCTAGCAGTTCGAAAGCACCCCCGGGTGCAAGTAGATAAATAGGGACCGCTTACTAGCAGGAAGGTAAACGGCGTTCCGTGTGCTGCGCTGGCTCGCCAGATGCAGCTTTGTCACGCTGGCCACGTGACCCGGAAGTGTCTTCGGACAGCGCTGGCCCCCGGCCTCTTGAGTGAGATGGGCGCACAACCCTAGAGTCTGTCAAGACTGGCCCGTACGGGCAGGGGTACCTTTACCTTTACCTTAAATTAGTCCCATTTATATCATTGTGGGACTACTCTGTGTCTATAGCTTTGAAAACTGCATGCAGTGAGCATGAGCCACAGGCATCTCAGGACTCCATTGCCCATTGTGACAGAGGTAGTCCCATTCTCCTCAGTGTCAGGGATTGTTGCATACATACAGCATTGAGGCATGTACAGAGCATTTTTCAGTACTGATGAAAACACACCCATCTATTCATGTCCTTCTCCATTAGTGCCTCATACTCCCTATGCATGCGAGTGCACATGCATACACACATGGGCCCCAGGTCAAACGGAATGCCTGTGAAAAGCTTTGCTACAAAGGAAGTGCA